GGGGGGGGGGGGGGGGGGGGGGGGTCGGTTATTTTGGGGTTGAGGGCTCGCTAGCGCTTGCCCTCATTGCAGCACGTAAGTTTTAGAAGAAAAATCCCGGAAAGTTCACTTTATAAAATTTAGCCGTACAGCAGTACCGTAAGAGATTAAGAGTCGTGTAATCAGTGGTTACCATAAAAGAGAGGGGAGGGTTGCAAGAGAATTAAGCATGACGACTTATTCATTTCATCATGTCCCTCTATCAAACGTTACTAATCTAAGGTTTATCTATCCAGGTCGAAGTGAACAATGAAATGCAAACAAACCAACTGAGCACTTGAATTCAAGTTGGTCTTTTTTTTTCCAGAAAGCGCGGCGCGCTGGCGCCTAAAAACCTAAGGGAATACTTCACGCATTGCGCAATGCTTGAAGTATCCCTGTTGGGTTTGTAGGCGCCAATGCGCGTTCCGCGCTGGTCGACCGCCCGCCGCGCCGCAGCGTGCCACGGCGCCTCAAGCAACTATTTCTCAACAGAGGTGTTGCACAGTATCATACGGAATTGAAGGCGCACCAACAGATAAGAGAAACTTTATTTAGGCAGAAACATTTTTGAGTTTGCCGTGGTCGTTCTTAATACCATAAAAGTAAGGCTATTAATTCAGGTCATATCATAGAAACAAGAAAATATGAAAAAAGGGTAAACCTGATTCTTTATATCTTGAGCTGGCTTCAGTTTTTGACAGATGGACGAGAGTGGCCATGAATTTCGATTAGAACACGGAAACTTTTTCTCTTTCTGTCCAATACAAAAGGATTTATCGCGTACTTTACAAGTGATTCAAGTTTTCCGTTTGACTTTGTGATACTTCCAAAACTTTCCGACGCATTTATTGACTTTTTTAAACTTCTTAAAGGTGAAACTTCAAAACGTCACATTTCAGCGCTACTCGAAACTCATTTCTGATTTTGGACAATACATTCCCTTTCCCGTAAATACGATTCCGAAAAAGGCACAACTTTCCGCCAAATGAATTGAGAGAAAAAAACGCGGTATTGATAAAAAAAAATCGATGAATTACTAGCAGCAAGAAAAATGAATTAGTAACATAGTGTGAGATAAGGAACTGATAAAAACAAGTTCCTGCCGAATCAGCGAGGAGTTCAACAGTGGAGTGAACACAGGGCTGCTTATTTTGTTTGCAGGTGGAAATGTGTTTGGTTGGATAATTTCGAGAATAAACTTATGAGAAAACCAGTGGCGATCATAATAGCATAATATTTTTTTTTTCGAGGTAATTTGACCTTGGAGACCAAACTGACAAATTCGGAGCAAATAAATTACAATGTATTGAACTACGATATAAGCACGAAATAATTGTGCCCAATGAGAATACATTCGTGAATTTTTATTAAGCTATTTCTAATATTGATTCCGCTTTTTTTCTTAAAAAAGTGGTGTTGCATATTTCTTTCTATAATTTCTCGGAAATTAGGTTATAGAAAATTCTCAGCGATTTCCTTGTAACACACGAATTTTCTACACGACTATGGAGACAACTTTTGGCTCATCTGATATATTATTCCCTCACATCCGACTTGTCAGTAGAGGCTGCCCATACAACAGAAGAAATTACTGCAGAAACGGAGGACATTATGCCCAATCAGAGATGAAAAGTGCAATTTCACGTTTCGAAATTTCATGAAATTTCAAAAGGCTCGAATAAATTTCACAAAAGTTGAAATTTATTAATTTTTTTTAGAATTATTGATTGAACCTTTGAAGGTCTGAAAGCGTTTCAGATGGTCTTTCTGTTGATGCTGCGGTGTTATGCTACTCTACTAAAGGTACCAGACACAAAGAGGGGGGGGGGCAAAAAGGGGAGTTTAGAGAGAAAATCTCCAACCTAATCTCTAAGCTAAACGAAAACATTTGCAACGCGCGAATGTTTTAGGCTTGGCGTAAAAAATTTCAAAATTTAGAATCACCGTTTCTAGGCGTTTTTTAGCCTCCTGAATGTATACCCAGAAGTTTCAATATATTTCATAAAATTTCGTGAAATTTCATTCGAATAAATTTCATGAAATTTTCCATCTCTGTGCCCTATGCAAAAGTCGCGTGCACCGGCCGCAACGCAGTTATTCATAGAGTTTTACATCTCCCTTTCTCCCACATTTTCGGTCTCCCTCTATGAATTCCAAAACGGAGCATCGAGCAAGCTTCACTTACTCGTTGCTGTGATCAGTCGACCGCATCTTTCTTTATCATATTTTTTATTGCGTAGCGGCAGAAGATGGATTGAGTGATAAGGCTTTTTGGACGCCGAGCTTTAGGGCTCTGCCCTAGGAGCTTCTCACTTCGGTTTTGACCATCAGCACAGGCTTCCAAGCGTGCTCCCGAATGTCTACATTCCTTGTGTAACGATTCCATCCTTCAAGTTATACATTTTATTCAGTCCAAACGACCTTTTTTCTGTTCAGTTCTTCCACTTTATAGTTATTTCCCCATAACACCAGGAACGCCTTGTCGGAGAACGTTATCCTTAGCATGGTGCTAAACTCGACCGTGATATGGTGCCGACTTCGTGACATGGTCTCGAAACCCGTTTTCTGACTTTTCAGCTCAGACCGAACCGATTTTCAAAGGTACAGTGCTTTTTTTAGTATCAAGTGAAATTGTACCATTTCTCTTCCCACAATGGATTTTTTTTTTTTTGGCGCGTATACGTATACTACACCGCCTTTGCGATCGTTTCGAACCTGCTCGATACAATAACCGAGTCCCTTAGTTCCTTACCGAAAAGTGATTACCGCGAACTTCTGAGATTTTCCAAAGCGTGTAAAAAGTTTATTTATCCGTCAATAATTATGATTTTAAGTTGTTTCTCATTCTGGGGCTTTCTAGTTTATGTGTAATGAATAACAAGAGTCTACGTTACTTGGTTTTTTTAAAAAAAACCTGAGAATGCTCAGCGCTAATTTAAAATATGCACATATAAGCGGAAGCAAACGAACTGATTCGAGGATGGCTGACCAGTTCGGCACTCTTCGAATGAGAATTTTACTCCTGCGTTTTGTTCAAAACGTTGCTTTGACAGATCTCCACACCCCTGTTATGCTTTTCAAAATTTGGTACCACTGCTCTGATACCCAGGGCCAGCAGGGCAGTCGTAAGTGAAATCTGTGATGAGCCTTGAAACTCATTAGACCATTTGCTAAACGTGGCTCATACAGGAATCCACCTACCCCTCTCTTCCCCACGCTACTGATCACTGCGCCGGCTAGGGTGTACCTTATTTTTGAGTTTTGCGAAAATTAAGTTGGTCAACCCCTAAAAAGTTTCTATGTAGTCTCTAAATGAACCCCCTAAAAGGAAAAAATTTTAAAAAAATTTTAACCCGTGCCTCAAAGGGCCTAAAGGGCCTAAACCCAAAATTCAAAAATTTTGGCAAGCGACATATAAATTCTGAAGGAAAATTGCAAGTTACGGTTCTTAAGACGGAAATTTCGTCCGTTTTGGCGTATCTTGAAGCGTAAGGTCATAAACGGCCCAATGACGACGTGAGGCTATGGGCCCGCGGGGCGCGCCGCGGCCGGCCTGCCGCTGAGCGCGCGCGCAGGGCAGGGTTGCGCATCGCCGCATTACACCGGCGTAGAGGAACGGACGGTGGGGTGGGAGGGGGATATCCGGTGGAAAAGCATCCACATTTTCAATCCATAATGAAAATGCATTATACTTTTTCAATATAGATGAGGAAATATGAGCCATACAAGGAAGTGATGAAAAGAGTGACAAATACATAAGTAGTTTGTACGATTAGGAGCGTAAGTGGGGAAAATTTGCCGTAACTACAGAACAGCCCTGAAAATCTCCGGGAAATAAAAACTGCTATTATCAACATACCTGTTGATCATCAAAACAGAAAATTCTCACCGGCCGGAGGTACCGAAAACCACCGGTATTTGACTAATTAAAAAGATATGTGCGATGTTGTCGAATAGTAAGCCTTTTACGCGATCAAATGCGATTAGTGTAAATTTAATTGGAAAAGTTGAAGAAAAATTTGATGAAAGAAAATTGCCCTAAATTCGGGAAGTGCTCGAAGTGTTTTTATACCATGTGAAGTGTTGCACATGAATGTCAATAGCAGTGCGTGGAAAACCTCTGATCTGGTAATTCCAATACGGAATGAAAAATGTAGAATCCCTGTAATGTGATACATAGTGTTCATGTTTTTAAAAATGTTTAAATTTTTAAGAGGAGTGGAGGCGCGTATCAAAAATTGCTAGCCGTCGATCGCTGGTTCAAGAGAATTTGGAGACTGATTTTACGGCAAAATTCGACGTGTCATTGGACAATGCTTTATGCAATGCTCTAGAGGGTGATTTCACGATAATAGGAATAGTCGTGTCGCCGTGGGTTATGAACGACATAGGGCAAAACGATTGAAAACCAAATTAATTAATCAATAAGAATGATGTCCCTGAACCTATTTATGCTAAAAAATATGATGAATTATTATTATATTTAATAATATGAGACTTTAAAGGCCGAAAATGTCCGGTCGGTTACGCGTCGCCAACCCCGATTTTGAGGCAAAAGAGCAATTTGCGGTAACATATCAGTACTGATCATGAACTCTTTGGCAATATTTGCTGAAAAGAGACTCTAGTGTTCAAGAAAATTGCCAGTTTGAACTGAAATGTTTATTATTGAGCGAGAAAAGTCATAAGAAAGAGGTGTCGCCTCATTTGGCAACAAATTTTTGCAGTTGTATTAAGTGCAGTGTTTATCTCGCCAGATGGAGTCAGGAGTTTCAAAACTGCCATCAAATTGTTCGCTGAAGTCTTCTTGACAAAACCATCACTGATAAGTCAGTTTTGTTTACAATGAAAACTTAAATTATTATGAAAACCAGTGATTTATACGTGTGTAGCACTAATTCCTCACTACGCAAAAACCTCAATTTCATAGTATTAAACTAATACGAAGTCTCCAAAGCTTAGAAAACTTTTAAGGCAGCATTAATTCCACCTCATAACTCAAGAATTGCCAAGTTTCATCTTTTGTATCATCTTTAATCTCACATTTTTGAGTGTCGGTTACGCTGTGTCTGTTACGTAACCGACACAATTTGGCAGGGCCGCCATGTTTGCGTGGACCTGCAGCAGTCCCGCGGGAAGCGCTGATACCTGATTCAATGGCTTGTTTATCAATCACTTTAACTTTGCACTGAATCAAAATAGAGCGTGCCAAAGCTAGAAAAAGGAAGTTTAATACCTTTAGAATGAGGTAATGAAATCCTGTTAAAATTGGTGCACTTTTATTTCTCAGGTATTTCACATTTTAACTATTCCTGTTATCGTGAAATCACCCTAGATATCATGGAAAATGAAGAGGATAAAGTATTTTTTAATTTTTCAGCGAAAACCTGGACGAGAATGCATAATATCTATAGTGAAGGATACTATTCTTGCAGCAGAGGAGGGGAGAGCAGACCAGAAGAAAGCTCGCGCCCAGGAGAGACTTTCCAGACAGGAAAAATTCAAGCTCGCTTATGAGTCCCGCCAAACGGAAGAAAGTAAGTTTTGTCATGGGAACGGAGTTCCCCATGATATTACAATCGTTCCGTTGCTTTCGCTATGGGATTCCCTATACCTCTGCGACCTTGAGCGTTTCGCCCAGCCTCTATTTGAATGAAAAAAATGGCAACTTAGGAAGCACATAGGTCACTTATCGACGGTGAAACTACCAAACCACGTATCTCGGTTTGCGACGTCGCAGACTTTCTGTCATACTTTATTTTTTAAATGAAAAGCTACTTAACGTCCAGTCTTGAAAATTTCTGTGATTTTTCCTCTTCGTGCGGAGAAAATTCTGTGAAAATTTCAAGGAATGATATTGATTTGGTCTACTTCAAAAAAA